TGAAAGAACAATGTGCAGAATGATGTATAATCCCAACTGAGGATGGAGAAATTTCGTTAACAGGGTTGAAAAATTTGTGGAAAAAAAAAAATTGATGTCAACAAATTTGCCAACACTGATTTACTGACCAAACCTTCCTTCTTCCAGCATCAACCTGACAGACGACAACGATAACGTTAGTGCTGCATTTGAAGTGGAGAACATCAAGGTGATCATTTAATCAAGGATAAGACAAGATCTCGTCTCGGGGGGGATGGGGAATTAAGTAGCTCATATAAAAGATCACTACTCTCAGAAGAGATCTGTAGTATATAAGGAATGTAGAGGGCGAGTTCATGAACATTGCGACTATACTATACAAACATCTACTGTAATATGCCTTTCATGCAAAAACGAGAAAAATTATGCCATTCACATCTAACATAGAGAACATCATATCTATCCCCCATTGATGAATCATAACAAAAGTTTCACTAATCAAAAGAAAGTAAGAGCTAAGAATCAAGTCGTGTTAGATCTTCCACTTAAGGTAAACCAATGAGAGGCAAAAGAGGATTCATATAACAGACTTCAAATTTATTATGAATAACGTTTATTTTGTTGTCATAAATAAAGCTCTAGTTCAAAAAGTTAAGACAGGGAAGGACTGCCCCTACTCATGTCAGTCGTGGAGGGTAGCATGTGGGACAAGGAACATAGATTGGATTTAATGAGGACGTCACATATTTGAACGCGGGAGTTTGTGATGCCTCATCCTATACACATCTTAGTAGAGTAGGGTGACTGAATTATAAGAACTTGGGTAATTCCAGTTTGCCAAATATTGAATTTATTTCTTATGCACTACACCAAGAAAGCATCTATTGGTCTTGTAATATTATACTGCATTATGGGATAATATATTCGCTATTACTGCCTGTTATGTCCATGCTGCACGAAGCATCAATACAAGAATTCAAGTTATGTACTATTTTCTAATAACTTGTCTCAGATTTCACAAGGAATGTATATGATAACACAAGGAATTCTGAACTTGCTCGAAATCATTACCACGTATAAATGGGGTCAGTAAAAGTTCTATTCATCATGCAAATGTAGATGTTATATCTCACCCTACGATAATCACCACTCAATCTCTCTCTGAGATGCAATGAAGTTTTGTCTATCTATTTACACATACACCAGACACAGCATAGAGCATGTGGATCTGTGGGTCCAGAAGAGAATGAAGAGGTGACCAACCAGAGGATTATAATTGTTGACCTTATCTATTCTCACATCCAGCAATATGTTTGTTGCTTGCAGTTTAAGTGGACCCATGGACTACAACAGTAGGCAGACAAGTCAAAGTCCCAAATATCAGGATGCAATGTTCTCAGATTTAACATTTAACATCCTCCATGAAAAATTAGTTTCCTATGGGATAGATATGAGAAAAATGCACATGCTATCATGATCTAATCAAGTGGAACAACATGAATCTCGAAATTTCAGCCTTAATTTACTAACATGCACAACCAATTTAAAACAGGGCATGAGTTTAAGAATTAAGAGCTTGTTTGGTAGGGATTTTTGGGGGGAATAATTGATTTTGAATAGTGATATGATGGGAAATGTGTGGTTGAAAAAGAAAAAAAAATTATTAATGTGATGGAAAATATTATTTTATTGAAAAATGTGTAGTTGAAAATGAGAATTGATTTACTGTAGAAAAATNGGGGAATAATTGATTTTGAATAGTGATATGATGGAAAATGTGTGGTTGAAAAAGAAGAAAAAATTATTGATGTGATGGAAAATATTATTTTATCGAAGAATGTGTGGTTGAAAATGAGAATTGATTTGAGAATCAATTCTCAAATCAAAAACAAACACCCCCTAAGAATTATCTATATTACAATTTTACTGTACTAAGCTTTGGAAAATAACTAAAAAGTAAGAACTTAAAAATCGAATAATATAACAAAACATCTTCATGCATGACAATGGGAATGCTGGGTTGAGCAATTGATCAGAAGCTTACTCAAGTTCATATATTGAAATAATGCAATGATGAGCTCTTATAGGATATCTTCTTCCTCATCCATCTCATCGAGAATAACATACTTCGATGGTGAATTATCTGCTGATATACTTCCCATTCCATCTGCACTTGTGACTCCCTTCTGCAACTTATGGTACCTGATGGGGGGGAAAAAAATCAATGTGTTTGCCAAGAAGTGACAAAAAAGCATAGACATTTTTAAGATAAGAAAATTACTGAAACTAATTCCAGAGTAGAAGAATTCAGATTAATATGTTCAAAAGAGAGTACCACGCTTCACTTTCAACAAATAGCCAATTGTAATGTCAGATTTTGGATCTATCTGGGGGAAAGAGAGATCTGAAGGGGTTGATTCTTGTACTTCATATGCCAGTATCAAAGATGTAAATGTTTCAATAAACAAAAAACTAGAATTTCTAAGTATTTTGCGAAATTCACAAAGAAACATAAGTACTGAGTTCATATACAGTTCCAGTCAAGAGTAATCATAGCATGATGTTATTTCACTTTTCCAATTTACTGTCTTGGAGAATTAGCATTTATACAAAAACAAGGTTCAACTACTCCTTTCCATATTAACATGACTAAACTAACAAAAGCAACCCTCTCCTTGTTGAGGAAATTCAATTTCGTAGAGAGCAGCAAGATTTGAGTAAATCTTGCATCAAAGTGAACAAGTTTCAGCCCATGTCAACACTTGCATGGCTTGACCAACAAAAGAAACAATCACTTTACTTGAGGAAATACATAGAGCAACATTTCTGTAAATTTTGTAACGTGAAAAGTTTGTTTCCAGAAAGTGAACAGCCTATGTTTAACAATCAAATAAGTTCAGCCATGCTGGTCACGACAGAATTCATAGAGCTCTCAAAATCAGCAGGAACATAAAGATTGGTGAAGAACAACCTAATCTCTGTTTTTCATGAAATTCAAGGCCACATAAGTATGACCAAGTGTGACAATATTACATCCCACTATTGGACATTATAATGGTCACAATCATCAACACAGAAAGGCCCACCAAAATTGAAATTGCAAAGCTTCGTAGATATTGAGAAAGATCTAGTAGTTCAGCTGAATACATGTGTGTGAATAAGTAAAGCAACTAAGAAGCACATTCTTTCATTGATGGGAATGAAAAGAACAGTGAGAATCATAAAATCCACAATAACATGTAAATACAATTAATTAATCATAGGCTACCATGTCTGAGTACATTTCAGATTATTTGAAGAATTTATGACATACAAACACAAAAATGGATGTTGTTGATGATATTTCAATCAAGAAGAATATGGAGAAGGAACTGTCAAATGAGGTTAGTTTGCTACAATACCATGGAATTCGATTACTTACTTGTACCAATTAAATAAACTGACACCAACCATTATTGTCACAAGACCAGCCCCTTTCAACCAGGTGAACTCATCATGGAAATAGAACACGGCAACCTGAGATGGCATTGCAGAGGTTCAATAATTAGTTTAGAAATGAAAGATGCTAGAAAAAAAGACTTTAAATGTATGATCAACATCAACTTACAAAGAATATCCAAAGATTGTGAAACAAATGCTAGATTTCTCATCAGTCTAATAAAAACTATAAATGGTTTTAATAATGTTGTTTCTGCAGAAAAAGGCCTGAAAGCCAAACCAGTAGGAAGTCAAACTGAACTTTGTGACCTTCCCAACTGACTCCCTCAATATAAGTCCCAAATCGACTCAGAAATTCCACTCACTCCCTCATTAATCTATATGAATCTTCTCTTTGTTTTGTTTTCTCCTTTCCCCTTTATTTAGAGGAGGACGGCAAGCTTGGTCCATGAAGGAATTTTTAAGAATTCACTAGCATGTTGCAAAGAATTCACTAGTATGTTGCAAAGAACAAAGAGAATTCCCCAAGTCAAAGACTATAGAAAATGACTTCTTAGTAGACCATGAATTTGAA